CACTGATCAGTTCTGCCAGCTATAGCCGGCGGTGCTAATTGCGCAGAAATCTTGCTAGAGGTTGATTGTACAGAAATCGATTGATAGATCGACTTCTGTGCAACCAGCCTGCCCATACATGGATTATTAAAATTCATCCGGTCCCTACTGAAGCAGACAAATTTTGATCCAAGTATAGCTGCCTAGAGCACAAATATCCATTTTGTGTGCATAAAAACATATAAAATGGAAACAAGTAAAGTAAAAAAAGTTCCTTTGTCCTGAGGTTAATTTGTGTCTTTGAGACTGTCGGTTGTGCCACAGTATTTAGCATTTTGTGGATATGAGGAGTGTGGTATAGGTGTGCATTGTATACAGCAAGCACAGATTCTGTTCAATCCCCCTTTAAGACCCTCCCATTGGCCAGCCACAGAACTTATTTCTCTGTTCTTTTCCAGGGTGCCCCATGTCTTTCATGATCCCAGTCTTGCTCACATTTTGTAATTTTGTTTTGACTTTTTAATTGTAAAGCCAGTCAGATTACTCGTTGAGTATTGTTAATATTGTCAATGTTTACATTTCGTTTATACTGTTTAGAGGCTAAGTTCGCCTTTAAAAACATATATGTCCTGTGCACTGCAGACCCCTGTACACTGCCATACTGAGCCCTGTACACTCCCCTGCTGACTGACTGTCCTCTGCCCTGCTGACCCCCTGTACACTGGCCTACAAACTGCTGACCCCTGCAATACACTACCATACTGACCCCTGTCCTCCACCCTGATAACCACCCACCCTCTGCCCTGCTGACCCCCTGTACACTGCCCTACAAACTGCAGATCCCAGCCCTTTTCTCTGATAATTCCTGTCCTATGCCCTGCTGACCCACAGTACACTCCGCTATTGATTCCTGTTTTTTGTGCACTGCCCTAGTGACCTCCTGTCCTCTGCCCCCCTGAAATTTTTTACTGCACCCTCATATCAGGCTGGCTAGAGCCAGCCCTGCACTGCCTTTAATCTGAGGTGACTGCTGAATCACCAGTGAGCAGAAACAACTATCAAGAAACAGATAAGCTCCCTGTGGATCCTCAGAATTAGATGACAAGGATTAGATTTGAAGTAATGGGAATTCTCATTTGGAATTGAGCAATGTCCCTTTAAGAGTACTACAGTGTCTCATTGTCTTCTGCATGCTTGTTGGGGCCCAGCTGATATGAAGTTGAGTTGAGGTATGGAATATAGTTCCACAGGATGACAACACAAAGATAATGAGAGAAAAGGGGAGATGTAACACTTTTTCTCTTGGTAGTGAATTAGTGCGGGGTCCATAGTAGGACTGACCCTTACTTATAAATGTATGGGGCAAGGTGCATGCGTGCTCAGTGAATGGAGAAATAGTTGTCTCTGAAGCCAAGCTAAAGGCAAGTTGGTAGGAAGGGTCCTTTTACAGGACAACTTTACTAAAATTAACATGTTCCTTAAATCAAACCATTTGTGGGCCCCTAAGGCTTCTCATACACAGGAGCCAATCTAAACCTAAGCATCAGTCATGCATGAAGTTGTTTTTTTTTTTATTTCTTCTGCATGGGATAAACAAAATCAGCTCTCTGGTGGTTGTAGTCATCACCTTTGCTTTCCTTCTGTTTTGTATACGTCAGGACTCAACATGTTCCTGAGCCACACAGCACTAGATCCATTCAAAAGCTTTAAATGTTCATTTTGAAGAATTAATCACATTAAAATACGCCAAGTTCACCGACAAGGTCAAGCCGGCATGCTCATTTTTTTCCCCCTTTCTATCATTTAGACTTGACATCTGGAATCAGTGTAAGTATTCAGTCTGTGAAAGTCTCTTCTTTGTACTTTTTTAACACTTACAAGGCTTATGCCACAAGAAACAGGATATGTCCCATAAATGCCCCCCACCCTTGGGTGGCACGCAACACCCCCCTCACCACCACCACCACCACCCCTTGCGCTGGCCCTACCGCCACTCGACTGTACGTACTTTTAATAATCTCCGTAAAAGCTTCATTCTCAATCCCCAGGCTCAAGCTGACAGTGTAAATAAAATCACCCAAATCCAGCGGGGGCCAGAAATGAAAATGACAAGGATTAAAATTTTGCCAAACCTCTTTCTTTTTTAAAATTCTGCTTCCCTTCCAATTGGATGGCGACCTTGTGTGCGCAGGGGCTTAGAAGCAGACGGTACGCTTTCACTTTTCTATTGCTTCACAGCTGGCTTACAGTATTTAGTGAAAGTCTGTGAAGAATGTGGTCTGTGTGGAGTGTTAATACTTTAATCCCCTATCGTTGGGGTCATATGCTGAATAGGGGAGAAGAGTTGGAGAATATGTAGCCTACAATAGCGAGGGAAATGCATCAGCATGCTATTCTGTTAACTGAGCATTCATTATCAGCGAGCAGAAAGAGAATGAGGTAATAGAGACCATTAAGGGATAGGCTCGGCTGTGCCCTTGCTGAAAATGCGAGCCCTTCGCTAATCATATCGATGAGAAGTAAGCCGAGGCATCTCTGACCATTGTGACGAGGTCTCTTCAGCGCGGCCAGAGTCTATGACGGGGATTGCGTTGATGCAACACTTTAAAGGGCAACTCAACACAAAACTGAAATTTCAGGACTGTGCAGCTGCTGGTCAATGGAATCATGTAGTGGTTTCTTGAATTCTGTGGGCTGCTGTAGCAGAATTTTGCTTTAAGAAATCCCAGGTCATATACAAGGAACCATTAAAATGAGCACAAGCTGGCAGGACCACCGATATGGGGTATAGCCAGTCCTCCTATACCAAGCATGGGCCCCGTCAGTTCAGCAAGGGGTCTGCGGGCTGGGACTCTTTAAATACCAAGCACAGTAGTGTGGCTTCCAGCAATTAAATACCAGTTCTCTGGACTCCATCAGTTTAGCAGCAAGGGCCGGGGACAGAAAGGGGGCTATTTACCCATTTTTAGGATCAGGTGGAGGAATCTTCCATGCCGCAGCTCCCAACAGTTCTATTTACTTTATTTAAAGTGGGATTCTGGGATAACTCAAACTACTCCTAAAACTGTCCCCTCCCACCTAACACCTATGCTCACTCACTTGTATAAGAAAGATGTCTATACTTACCTATGTTCCAGTCTAGTCACCTGATCCGGCTCCGAAGTGGCAACTGCAGGGGGGAGGAGGGAGTGGCGGAAACAGATAGGCTATTGAAGCTTAGGGGTGGCATCACCTCTTCCAGCTTTGCTAGCTGTTGTCTGAGCTCTCTCTCCTCTCCCCTGCAGTCACCGCTAGCTGACACAGGGGAGATTACCGAACAGGAGCGGTGTTAGGGATCCGGGTATGACCAGAAATGTGTGGACTGACACAGGGAAGTAGCAGGCTTCAGGAACACAGGTGTAGTCAGGCTGGAGAGGTGGTCAGGCAGGCCGTAAGGTACTGTCAGGTGCCACCTGGCAGTGTTTCTAGCAGCCCACAGCATGGATTTCCCCAGGGCGCGGGGTCTAAGTCCCAGCCTGCTATTCACCAGGGCCCCTGATGGTGGGGATGGACTTGGTGCAGACTGGAACCAGGTCGCGACCCCTGAGTGCGTCCGGCTGTGGTAGAGAGTACTGGCAGGGGAGTGCAGGAACAGAGTCTGATGGGAAGAGGCAGGCAGACTTACTAAAGGTGATCCGTGCGGGATGGATGGATCGTCAGGTGAAGTAAGCGTAGTCAGACAGGCTGGATCGGTATCGTGCTGGCAGCGTGGTACAGGAGGAGCAAGCAGAGAATGGTCGGGGTCACAAGCCAGGTTCAGCAGGTAGCGGGCAGCACGGTACCGAGGATCAGGCAGAAGGATGGTCAGGCAAGCCAGGGGTTCAACAGGAGACGGTCAGCAGAGGTCAGGATCAAAGCAGGGTCAGCAACGAGGCAGGAACACAGGATACCAGGTACAGGGGCTCATGGGAAACATACACCAAGGCCCTGATCACAGGCCTGGTCATTCCTTAAATACACCTCCTGCAATCAGCCCCAGGTGTTGGCTGACTACAGGAGTGAGCTTCTGGCTGCTGAGAGCACCCGCTGGTCAGCCCTGGTACTGCAGCCTACACGGCAGGTGAGTCCCACCACCAGTGCTGAGTCCATTCCTGACAAGCGGCCTGAATATAGGTATGTTATAGATCTTTCTTACACAGGTTAACAATCATAGGTGTTAGGAAGGGGAGGGGACAGTTTATTTGCTGGGAGCCGCGGCTGGTGGGATTACTGTGTGAGCGCAATTAAATATTTAAGGGCATGGACTGTAAGGCAGGAGGAAGGGGGCCCTGTTAGGCAGCCTGTATGGGGTCCCACAACTTCTAATGAGGGCCCTGCAGGCTGGAATGACATTCCCCTAAGGAATTTGTAATAATAACAACAATAATAATACTAGAAATAGGTGGTCACCTATATAGAATGAATGTCAGTCCATGTGGGGCACCTACTGCACTGTCTAGTGCAGCACTTTAATACAAGCATTAGAGCACTGGCACATTTCTTTCACACTTTCGGACAGTTTTTTCTGGATTCTGTTGGACTTTTAAGTTTACATTATTCTTATTGGATATCATTCATTTTATTTTGTTGGGTATGCATCTATTATGTTGTGAGAAGCAAGGTTCAATTTTCTTAACTTTTTCAGGACACTGTGTTAAATTAACATGTTTTTGAACTGCGGCGGTCACAATATTGGTTTTTCACTGTATTTAAAGTATTACTAAACCCACATCAGTAAAATCAGTCTGTATGTGCAGTAAATCATGATTGTTATACTCACTATGGAACCTAAGGGGTTAATCCTCTGCATTGTGTAAAAAGGCTGTTTGATCCTGTCTTCTCTGATCCTCTTCTACTGTCCCCAATCCATATGCTGATAGTACAAAGCTCTACAAGTCACTCTGCATTTGCTCAGTTTAGTGTGTGTTGCTATAGACTTTTTTTTTCTTTGAGAGGGAGCATGTGATCAGCACAGGGCCAATCAGCACTGTCCAGACTGAAGGTCAGGGGTCATGCAGCCTTATAGGACAGTCAAAGAAGAATGAAAACTCGGCCTACAAGCTTTAACCAGTGCTCAGCTGGACACTGATATGAGTGCTATATCTTGCTGATGAGAAAAGGTATTTAGCAGTTTTTATTTACTAAAATAACTGCATTTCCATGTTCTCTATACTGTGGGAGACCAGATATAGTGAATGCAGCATCCGGAGAGACCAGATATAGTGAATGCAGGGCAGGGGCGTCCCTAGGCAGGTGCGCGGGCTGCGTGCTGCTCCGGGTGATACCTACCGCACAGGGTGACACCGGACCCGCTCAACGAAAAGGTAAATTGTAAAGCAAGCCGATGATCCCCGCAGGATGGATCGGACCTGCGGATTGAGCATAATGGATCGGAGTCCGATCCATTATGCTCCTCATTCTGCAGATTCAATCCATCTTGCGGGGATCATCGGCTTGCTTTACAACTTACCTTTTTCGTGGAGCGGGTCCAGTGTCACTCCATATAGGTTGCATGCCGACGATCCCCGCAGGATGGATCGGATCTGCAGATTGGGGAGCATAATGGATCGGACTTCGATCCATTATGCTCAATCCGCAGATCTGATCCATCCTGCGGGGATCATTGGCATATTACAGGATATCAGGAGTTCACTGGATTTCTGGCAGGATCAAACAGTATTTTTTATGTACTAATCAAGCTGATGTCACAAAATGCTTTCAAAGTTATATTTAAACAATTTTGTAAAGTGCTGCGCAAACTGATGCCACTGTATAAATCCTGTATAATATTAACTGTGATTTAACAGACCAAAAGGGAGCAAATAAAAGAACTTCATTGTTATGTTTTCATACAATAAATAAATATTGGATGAGTTTCATTGGCTGACCATAAGCTGGGCAATTTGATGAAGAGCTCCCAAATGTCTGTGAAAATTGGTTTATTTATGTTGAAATACAATCATAGCTACATAGAATCAGAAGTAAGTGATATCTGCAAATAGCCAATTCCCAACATGATGGAATATCCTTGTTGGCTGATTGTCATGTAGGTCTCCTACAAACAGGGCGTTTGCTCAGCTCTCCTGAACACCACTCCTCCTGGCAACAGTGTTTTGGCAAAAAAGACGCTTGTAAACTCGTGAAAATGCATCCAAACGCATTTACTGCACCAAGCTTTTGGGTGTTAATTAATTTAATAATTAATGAATTTCAATTTATTTCAATAATTTATCCTGGCCATTTAAATAAATGAATTCTTAAGTGCTGGACACACATTTACATGAGTTTAGGCGTGTTTTAGATGTGTGGTCACGCATTTACACCTATCAAGCATTTTTTCTGCCAACATGCTTCTGCTTCTGGATGTGCTGGCAGTGTTTGTTTTTATTTTTCTGCCTCTAAACATCTCCTCACTGAGCTTTGCAGTATAATTTCAGCTCTCCGCCCCCTGTTTTCTGACAGTTCAGACAAGCTTTATAAATTCTGGAATTTGAATGGATGTAGAGAACAAAATAGTGCAGATAAACAGGTACAACATATGTGGGAAGATTCAGCACTTCCTGAGTTATTAAATGAGAACAAGCATGAAAATGAGAGTCAGAGTACAGGAAAAACTCTAAAATCAAGTGAGTGAAAAACGATGGTTGTATATTAAAATGCTTAATGGAATCCAGAGCTTTGGACTCTTTTTGTGTCTAGATATTGCAGATTCATAATGGCTACGGTCAGAGTCCTCAGTAGCAGCTCTGTCACAGCCAGTGAGACAATGAGGAGAGAGAGGGTGCAGAGCCAAGCTGTGGCTTTGTGTGTGATGGACACACAGGGCAGTGGCTCGGGAGTGAGCCTGCTTTGGTGCCCCCATAGCAAGCTGCTTGCTGTGGGGGCACTTGGCATAAGGGAGGGGCAAGGAGCTCCAGTACGGGACCCGAAAAGTGGAGGATCTTGGCTGCTCTGTGCAACACGACTGCATAGGGCATGTTTGTTATTTAAAAAAATGAATGAATTGCCTTTAGGCTTAATGCACATTAGCGTTTTTTTTTTAGGCTCCAAAAACGCTGTAAAAAATGCTGGATAAATAACACTAGTGATAGCATTTTTTAGTAGCGTTTAGAAGCATTAAAGAGCATTAGCATTTTATTAGCGTTTTTTATAGTACATGTAGTAAAAGCTAGAAAAAAGCTGTTAGTAGTATTTTAGTAGCGTTTAGAAGCGTTTAGAAGTGTTCAGTGTTTTTTTCTGCTGAAAAAAAACACTTCAAAAAACTCTACAAAAACAATATTTTTTCTGCTCCTAGAAGCAGACACTCAAAAAAAACGCTACTAGCCTTACGTAGTGTGCATGGACACATAGGATAACACTATATAGCTTCTAGGAGCAAAAAAAAAATGCTTATAACAGCTTCTAGGGTTTTTAAAAAAACGCAAGTGTGCACGGAGTCAGGCCTCTTTAATTTGAGTTACTAGTACTTTGGTGACAGATTCATTTTAAAGGGCCCAGGCCATCTAAAAGTGATATTCTAATACTCCCCTGCTATAATTCCCAGCTCTGATCAAATCATAGACCAACTGGAGGAGCGGCAGAGTGAATGGTAAACAAATCAAATTCAATGAGTTTTGAGACAAAACCACTCTCTCTTTATCAGGGCTAAAAAATATAATTAAAATATAGACTATACAAATTGTATACATTTACAAAAAGTATATACATAAAAAAATTAAATATATATATATATATATATATACAGTTGTGCTCAAATGTTTGCATACCCTGGCAGAAATTGTGAAATTTTGGCATTGAAATTGAAAATATGACTGATCATGCCAAAAAATGCTCTTTTATTAAAGGATGATGATCACATGAAGCCATTTATTATCAAATAGTTGTTTGGCTCCTTTTTAAATCATAATGTTAACAGAAATCACACGGAAATTACAGAAATTACCTGCGTAACAAGGTAATGGATCTTTATAAAGATGGAAAAGGACATAAAAAGATGTGCAAAGCCTTGAATATGCCAATCAGTACTGTTAAATCACCTATTAAGAAGTGGAAAATTTGGGGATCTCTTGATACCAAGCCAAGGTCAGGTAGACCAAGAAAGATTGCAGCCATAACTGCCAGAAGAATTGTTTGCGATACAAAGGGAAACCCAAAGGTAACCACAAGAAAAATACAGTCTGCTCTGGAAAAAGACAGTGTGGTTGTTTTGAAGGAGCACAATATGATGACACTTGAACAAAAATGAGCTGCATAGTAGAGGTGCCAGAAAGAAGCCTTTACTGCATCAATGACACAAAAGGCCCGGTTAGGCATGTCAAGGTGTTGTCAGGCATATTGTAACCGGGCCTTTTTGTGGCATTGGTGCAGTAAAAGCTTCTTTCTGGTACCTCGACCAAACAGCTCATTTTTGTTCAAGTATCATCATATTGTACTCCTTAAAAACAACCACACCATTTTTCCAGAGCAGCCTGTATTTCTTTTGAGGTTGCCTGTGGGTTTTTCTTTGAATCCCGGACAATTCTTCTGTCAGTTATGGCTACAATCTTTCTTTGTCTACCTGACCTTGGCTTGGTATCAAGAGATCCCCGAACTTTCCACTTCATAATAGGTGATTTAACAGTACTGATTGGCATATTCAAGGCTTTCAACATTTTTTATGTCCTTTTCCATCTTTATAAAGTTCCATTACCTTGTTACGCAGGACTTTTGACAGATCTTTTCTGATCCCCATGGCTCAGTATCTAGCCTAGTCAGTGCTTCCACATAAGAGCTAACAAACTCATTGACTATTTATACACTGACACTAATTGCAATTTAAAAATCCACAGATGTGGGACATTAACCTCTAATTGGCATTTTAGGCCATGTGTGTTACCTTGTGTGTCTGTACCAAGGCCAAACATTCCAGGGTATGTAAACTTTTGATCATGGCCATTTGGGTGTTATCTGTTATCATTATCATTTAAAAAGGAGCCAAACAACTATTTGATAATAAATGGCTTCATATGATCATTATCCTTCAATAAAAGAGCATTTTTTGGCATGATCAGTCATATTTTCAATATCAATACCAAAATTTCACAATTTCTGCCAGGGTATGTAAACTTTGAGCACAACTGTATATGTATAATTATTATAATCTCTATAATTATGTTTGTATCATTTTCAGCCCTTCGACTCTTTCACCATTTGGTCTGGTACTCTTCCCGTTTGTCTATGATTTGAGGATTGGTCCTCCTGTGACAGCCAGAGAGAGTAATAATCGGCAAAGTAGGTGTGCAGACCCGAGAATTTAGCAAAGAGATTTAGGTAGACTGAGCCTATGCACACTTATACATTGCAGCGTTTTGCATTTTATTGCCTGGTATAGTGCATTGCAAAACAGGTACCCCAATGCACTAGTGCTGCCGCACCCCGCCACGCACATGGCATGCTCTGTGGTGAGCCGTGTTAAAAAAAATAGGGCAAGTCTGTTTTTTTAGTGTGTTAAAGTGTGCTGTCAGTCCATTTGAAATAATTGGGTCTGCCTTAATACATGTACGTTATCGTAACACATTGTCAGGATGGGCCTTTAAAAAATCTAGCATTTAGGTTAAAACTGTGTGTAGTGAAAAGCAATCGTTAAACTGGCATTACATTTGTGTTGTAAAGTCAAAAGGACTAAACAGTTCTAAAGGAATAGACATAATAGGTGGGTGAAGTTGGGAACCCATATATAGGAACCTTATTGTTGGAAGCAGAGAGAAATTTATGCAAACAGTGGTTGCTAATGTGAGCTTAGCATAAAATATGTTTTGCTTCATGTTAACGTGTTACTAAACCCAGGACCCTGCATTCACTATAATTGGTCTCCCCGGACCCTGCATTCACTATATCTGGTCTCCCAGGACCCTGCATTCACTATATTTGGTCTCCCCGGACCCCGCATTCACTATATCTGGTCTCCCAGGACCCTATATTTACTTTATCTGGTCTCCCCGGACCCCGCATTCACTATATCTGGTCTCCCCGGACCCTGCATGCACTATATCTGGTCTCCCCGGACCCTGCATTCACTATATCTGGTCTCCCCGGACCCTGCATTCACTATATCTGGTCTCCCCGGACCCTGCATTCACTATATCTGGTCTCCCCGGACCCCACATTCACTATATCTGGTCTCCCAGGACCCTATATTCACTTTATCTGGTCTCCTCGGACCCTGCATTTACTATATCCGCTCTCCCCGTACCCGGCATTCACTATATCTGGTCTCCCCGGACCCTGCATGCACTATATCTGGTCTCCTAGGACCCTGCATTCACTATATCTGGTCTCCCAGGACCCTGCATTCACTATATCTGGTCTCCCACAGTACACAGAACATGGAAATGCAATTATTATAGTAAATATAAACTG